TCAGTACCTGTACAGATTTGCATGTTTTTGCCTGGACGTAGACGTGCATGCCATGCGTCACGTCGAAGTATCGAAGTATCTGGTATGAGTATTCCATTTCGTTGATTTGTTTGATAACTGAGGGCTCGGAATATTGCATGTACACACCAGCGCAAACGTGCAAGATGTAGTTTGTAGAAAAACAAGAGAAGGACGAAGGACACATCATTTCGCTTTTCGCGGACAGGTGACAGGTGACCTCCGCAGCAGTCCAACCGCGTCACGACCCGCTCGTTTGTGTTACTGAAAGTACATGCTATGTACGTCACCGAAAATCGCCAACAATCGCCGAAACTGAATTATGACTCGCCGTAATACATGTGGAAGTCACCGAAAGTCGCCGAGAAAGGTGTAATTGGCACTAAAAAACAAATAGCCGAAAATTTCCGTGAAACGCCGAAAAAAAAAAACATCGCCTGCGGGGGAAAAGCCTAGTCGTGTCACTACTTGAAACCTTCGCGGTCTGCTATTGCACCTGGTACCGGTCGCTCCGGTTGACTAGTGATATCCTCGTAATCCGCTAGTCGCAGAGGTCGTGAGTTCGAATCCCCATGGGGTGAAAAATTTACGAAATTTGCGGGTGAAGCGAAACATAGCTAAAAAAAGCTCTCGTGAGTATCAAACTTCGACGTTAGCACCGTTGACGAGGGAAAGGGACGGCTGGACCCTTCTCGCGATAAAATTAAACTCAGCACGCACGGCAAGAGGAAGGTGGGGCATGAAAAGAAATAAAAAGAAGAAAAAGCCCTGGTTTTTTTTAACCCCTCCTGTGTGACCCTGCATGGTTGAAGTTGTACGAAAAAATACACTGAAAAGTGTAGTACTCTACATACGCTGACAAGTGTAGTACACGTCTCACCACGAAAAATGGGGGGACTGTCGCCATAATGAATAGGACGAAAACATACACACACACTGCTTACTGCTGCGTTTTCAACGAATGGTGGTCTTGGCCAAGTCACCAATCGACTCATCGTTGCTATCGCCAACCACTTGACGCACGAAGCTTCTTGCCGGGGGAATTTTGAAGACAAACGAGCCTTAGTTCGCCTGAAAGCTTTTCATACTAACAGGATTCGGAAGCGGTTTACCTTCGAGTNGGGCTAGGGAAGAACTGCCCAGAGATTCTTCTTGTCGAAATGAGGATCAGAATGATGGTAGCGAAAACAAGGAGGATAATGGTGAAAGTACTCCAAAACGAACTCGAGTACTAGGTAATAGCCTCGGTAGACGGGTGCAGTTTTCTTCTGTTGCTGCTGTTTCTGTTTTTGATCCGAAGGATAGTTTAGCCTCCCCCATACTGACGTCTTTTCATTGGTCAGCCGGTTAGCGCGGTCGATGCTAATAATAAAAAAAACACACACTGCTGTTGCTCCTGGGTAATATCCGAATCCTCCGCACCCCGAGGTACACTCGTCACCGGGGGCATCTATTCTTGAATATCTGTCACGCAATTTGCTTGCCGGTGAAGCCTACACAAAGGAAGAGCACACACGCGCAGACAATATAAACCAACCCCCGCAAACGCAGAGAGTACTGGGCACGAATGGAGGAGGTAAGAAGGCCACAGGCTCAGCAGCATTGCCTCTGTCAACCTTGTCTAAGGGAGTGAGAGAGCAGGCAACTTCCGGAGAGAGAACTACATAACTCACGAATCAAATTCTCCGATGAGCTTGAGCTCCTCCGTCCTGCGCCTGTCCAGCGTGTCGAGATCGTCCCCGTAAGAGGCTCTCCCTGCCCCTAGCTCGTCCTCCCCATCACCTTTGATTCCCCTGCTGCTGCCTCCGTCCGCCGCAGCTTGTTCTTGTTGCAAATTTCGGCTGTTGTTTTTTCTTGCTGCTGTTGCGCTCCGGCCTCCTCCTGCTGCTGCTCGCGTTACTCTTCCTCCGTTAGCTGCGCCCACTTCTGCTGTCTCCTCCATCATCATCATCGTGGTCTTCGCCAAGGAGGTTGTTCCCTCTGTCGGTTCATCTGCTACCTATGTGCTCACGTATTTCCAGTGCCAACCAGCCGGCACATATAGAAAGACAGATGATCCACGACCCCCCTTGTCCTCACCCCCCCTTCCCAATTTTCATGTGCCGTTGCTTCCTGTTTCGCCGTTCGCAGCAAGATGGAGTTTTTTTTTTTTTTTTCTCCCATCATTGGACTTTGTCGTCTGCCCCTCTGGCCCCTATCCTCCACTTCTACTAGCTAGACGACCCAACCGGGGTCACATAGGAAGGGGGGTTTGGACCCCCTCCTGCGGTACATGCCTGAGGTATTTTTATCGCGAGAAGGGTACAGCAATCCCTTCCCTCGCGACTTACGAAGTCGATTGTGGTTTACTAACAAACGAGCTTTGCAACGCGTCGCTTTCATCCTAGTCTAGACCAGGATTTATTTAGTGAGAAAAAAACCCTCTCTGCCGGGACTCGAACCCATGACCTGGCCCTTAGCAGGCTGCGAGGCTACCCACTAGACCACCGGGGCGACCGGAGTATGACTCTGTTATTGTTGTTGTTGACTTCACACATTAAACCGTATGCCAGTTGCTAAATGCCAAAATCTAGCAAAGACTCTCGGCCCGTGGTCACGAAAGTGCTGGAGCCATCTGAGGATCTAAAGAACACGCACACGTAGCAAGAAAAAGGTGTACAAGAGCCCGAAGAGGTACTACTACACCTATATATAATCCCTGCAGCACCGTACGCGTGCCCAAAACTGAACTACACGTCCGTCTCACCGTTCGACTACAGCAACATCACCCCCTACTTGTCCCACTCTGTACCAAAACGAATGATTGCCGACTACAGCATACTTTATACATCATGTATTATTAAAGTCATACATAGGTTCGCAGTGGTGCGCGCAGCAACAAAAGAAAAAAGAAAATATATGGAAAACGAGGCCTCCAACGGAAACGTGTCCCCCTTGGAAACCCTGTCAAGCAAGCGGCGGACCCGCGCAGTCCTCACCGTATATCAACGTCGACAGAGGGCGAAGCACGAGCGTAGGCGTCCAATCTCCGACGAAGGTACGCTGGGCTACTCATACACTAGAAGTCGCCGAGATTCTTTGGACCAGTTGCGCAGGGTAGCAGTGTATATCCGGAATATACTCTGAGCATACTCTGAGCGTACCACCAGAAGACAGCCACCGTCACCTCCTACCCAAAAGCAGTAACACCCCAGTCTCTTCATGACTCCGGCTTGATACAGCGACATTAGGGTTGTTTCACATACTCAGCTTACATACTCTTCTATTGCAACAAGAATGGCTTTATTTGGTCCAGGGACACCTAAGCATGACGAGGTCAAAAATCAAATTTGTTGTTAGATCCCGTGGATGATGGCATCCGTAGTTACGGGTGTGGACGACGGTGGGTGCGTGGGTGCCCTTCCATAAGGTTGGCACGATGTAGCCAAATCTTGACTTTTTCTTCTACTATGCTCACGTACCCACTCAGTACAAAAGGAAATACTTCATTTGGTACAGAGACACTTAAGAATGACGAGGTCAATATTCAAATTTGTTGGTGGATCCCGTGAATGGTGGCAACACCCGTAGTCACACGTGGGTAGGGCGGTGGGTGCGTGGGTGCACTTCCATAAGGTTGGCATAATGAAACGAAACCTCGATTGTTGTATCTACTAAGCTCACATACCCACCTTTTACAAGAAGAATTACTTCATTTGGTACAGAGACACAGAAGAATGCCGAGGTCAAATTTCAAGCTTGATGTTGGATCCCGCTCGTGATGGCCAGCAACCACGGGCACGCGTGTGTACGGTCGCGGGTGCATGAATATAAGGTTGGCACGCCACAACTAAACGTAGATTGACTGATAGACAGACTCAGTTCACATGCCCACCTATTGCAAAAGTAATCACTTCATTGGGGTAAGAGACACTCAAGCATCACGAGGTAAAACGTCAAAACGCCCATGTGGTTCCTACGCATGTATTGGTAATCATCCGCAGGCACGTTCGTGCGTGGCCGGGTGTAATGCACATCGAAAGCAGGCCCCAACAACGCAACACCCAATTTAAGTGTGTATTTGCATCTATCACACTCGTTTGCTATGAAATCGATGTCCAAACTTCCAAGTTCAGTATTTGATTCGTTGTGAATTGCTACTGCCACCCACGTTTGGTGACATGTGTGATTCGGCGTACCCGTCCGTGCTGGCCACATGTCAAAGCAAAACACTAGATTTGGACAAATTGATCTGGAAACTGCCATCGACAGTTCCAGGCGGCACCACGAAGAAGAGCACCGTTGCTGTAACAAATTCGTGACTAAGCATTAACAAATTGTCGGTTCCTTTTTTTGTCGATACGCAACCTCGCTTTCAGGCGTCGCTTCATGATGTCGTGCAGTCACGCAACTGCATGGCTAACCGGGACAGAAGATGGTTTGTTGTTCCCCCCTGTGCTGTTGCCCCCGGCGGTGGGGGGCGTATACACCGCCCGTGTCCCCGCGGCATCCGCCCGCTGGCCAGTTGACGGAGAACACATCCTCTCCAGCTGCTGCGAGAGGCAACGAACAAGGAACGCGCCGTCGCGAGCACGCCAGTACAGACACCTAGACGAGCGCCGGGTGCAAGATTCTGGCGCGCGGTTGAAAGGTTCTGGCCGAAGATCAGGGAAGAAGCGTCCGGCGAGCGTTAAGGCCAGACGTTCTTCGGTCCTACTACAACCGCAGTTGGAGCAGAAGATTGCAGAGGTGGCAACGAGGAGCAGCAGGCGGTGGGGAGGGCGGAGGCAAAGGCCCGCAAGGAACGTGAGATCGCCGAGGCTGAGCGTGAAAAAACGGCGAGCACTACCCCGGGAGTTCGTTCTCGGCGGCGAGCCAAGATGGGAAGAGAACACGACCAGTTGCCGATAGTGACGGAAGCAAGGGGAAAGGAAGCCGCGCGCGAAGGAATGGGTCACCACTACTCCCGGCGAGCCATGTAACCTGTGCCCACAGGGGGAGCATTTGGCAGGAGAGAAACAGTATGCTGCATGTCACAGGTCGGCAGATGAGAAGGGCTTCACGCACATCGCCAGTCGTATTTCTACGGCTAGAGATCTCTGCGACGAACTACGGTTTACAGGGTTGGATTCCCGACGACGACGAGAAGGTACGCCTTTTTGTCCTCGTCTACCTGCTTGCTGGTTGCGACTTCCTGCCTGCCATATCGGGTCTGCCTCTCGGGACCATGTTGGCTCTTACTCTGAAGAGCGTGCGGACGGAGGGTGTATTTCGCACGTCTATCTTCGTGCGCGAGGGTGGTGCATGGAGCGTCAAGATCGACGAGTGCATCAAGTTGTTGGCGACCATATTCTACTTGAAGTATGAAGTTGCCTTTGCTCGTGGTGGCCAAGAGCCCGGCTGGATTTTCCGCACGAGGACAACGGCGATGTCGCACATTACGTCGACGTCATCCGGATGCTTATCCTCAGGCGTGGTCCAAAGCGGGCTACACCAACGTGCCCTTCGTTCGAGTGNCGACTACAGCGATGCCTTTAGCGACTGGGGATCAGACACGTCGGAGGGCGGGCCGGACGTAGGGTGGGGAGATGCGGGGGGAGTCGAAGGTCCATGGGGGGGCGACAGGAGCTGACTCGTTCTGAGGGTTCAAGAGTCGCTTTGAGGTGTGTATCTGGGACCGTGTGTATTTACCAACTTCTCGACCATAATCTGAGGGTGCGGCACGGATTTGCATGAGTGTGGCCCGATTTCATGGTATGAAAACGTACTACGGCGCGCNCGAGGCCATCAGGTGCTTGGGTACTGGCGAGATGGCTGTTTAGAGGTGGTGCCAGTACGAAACTCCAACGGCAAGGGATGGGGGATCGACCCGAAAGCGGCGGCGACCAGCCCGGAGCACATGACAGCTGAAAATTGCGTGGTATGGCTGTCTTGAGTATTCTTACGTTGGCACCGACAACAAGGCGCAAACGGAGAATTGTGTTNTCATGGTATGAAAACGTACTACGGCGCGCAACGCCGAAGTAAATCCCACCCAGGTGACCTTAGTCCACATTAACCAACCCCCATGCTTACCGCGTGCGCTTTCCGTTGTTTGCCTTTCTGCTTTTGCTTGTGTGTGACAAAATGGTGGCAGTGACGAGACAGCTTCCTCCGTGCTAAATAGCTNAACCGGCCCCGGGTAAGAAGAGTCTCTGCGTGAGGTGCGGCTGTCGAAAAAGCAGGAAGGACATGCTCGCTGGCATTGGTGTGCAGGGCACTTGTGGACTGATTCGCGCGTCGGAACCTGAGACTCGGATCGCTGCTGTTACATCCAGCGTTCCTGCTGCGTCCACTGTTCCTGCTACACCCTCCATTCCTGCAACATCTGACATCGTAGCCGGAGCCCTGCGTTCTCTTTTGGTGGCAAGAGCCGTTAGTCAGCAGACAGCCGCACAGGCAGCCGCTAGGCAGCAGGCAGCCTCGCCGGGTGATTCAACAGGGACCGAAGAACGAGTACGGAGAGATGGAAGAGGAGGAGGAGGAGGAGGAGGAGGAGAAGGAAAACGAAGGCAGAGATGAAATCCCAAAGTGGGAATCCGATGCGTCCGACTACAGCGATGCCTTTAGCGACTGGGGATCAGACACGTCGGAGGGCGGGCCGGACGTAGGGTGGGGAGATGCGGGGGGAGTCGAAGGTCCATGGGGGGGCGACAGGAGCTGACTCGTTCTGAGGGTTCAAGAGTCGCTTTGAGGTGTGTATCTGGGACCGTGTGTATTTACCAACTTCTCGACCATAATCTGAGGGTGCGGCACGGATTTGCATGAGTGTGGCCCGATTTCATGGTATGAAAACGTACTACGGCGCGCAACGCCGAAGTAAATCCCACCCAGGTGACCTTAGTCCACATTAACCAACCCCCATGCTTACCGCGTGCGCTTTCCGTTGTTTGCCTTTCTGCTTTTGCTTGTGTGTGACAAAATGGTGGCAGTGACGAGACAGCTTCCTCCGTGCTAAATAGCTTATGGTGGAGAAGGAGGAGACCTTGGAGAATGGGGTGTGGGGAGGGTGTGCTTGTGTGGGCAAGGGTGGGAACCGCACGAGCTGGATAGATAGGTGGCACCGCCACCCTTAGCCCTCTTTTCTGCGATCCTTGCCTTTGTTTCATTCGTGATTATTCGGCTCTGGGCTGCTGTCGTGTACAAACATGTGTGTGTGTGTGGGTGCGTGGGTGTGCNTGCTACACCCTCCATTCCTGCAACATCTGCCATCGTAGCCGGAGCCCTGCATTCTCTTTTGGCAAGAACCGTTAGTCAGCAGGCAGCCGCACAGGCAGCCGTGCCGGGTGATTCAANACCTGCTGTATTTTGTGGAGTCAGGAACTGCTGCCTAATTCGACCATATTTACCAGCGTGTGTGACGTGTTGAGTCAGTTTAGTACTATTATTGTTTTTTTGTCAGTTTACGGTCAGGCGCCGACTAATGTAGTGATTTGACTGTATTTGCCATCGGCCCGACGTTAGGAGCAGTCTTCCCTGTNTTTTGTGTACTCCTTGTGGTCAAGAACCTGCTGTATTTTGTGGAGTCAGGAACTGCTGCCTAATTCGACCATATTTACCAGCGTGTGTGACGTGTTGAGTCAGTTTAGTACTATTATTGTTTTTTTGTCAGTTTACGGTCAGGCGCCGACTAATGTAGTGATTTGACTGTATTTGCCATCGGCCCGACGTTAGGAGCAGTCTTCCCTGTATAATGTGGAATATTGCCCGACCCAATTCAAGAACAAGCGTTGGACAAAATATGGCATTTCTTCTATCGGTAACGTCGTATGTGTTCCGGCGGTGGAAGTCTCGTTCCACGCTATCCTTTTCACGCGTACGTTATGCTCGCCGTGGACAGCACGGGACCTCGCCCTGCCCCACTGTTGTGGAAAAAATGCGTGCGCCCTGGTGGCGATATGCCCACAAACAAACTCGGAAGGAAACTTCTACAGTTTAGCATGAATTGTTCTTTTCAGGGTATCTTGAAGTGATGACGGACGGGTTCCTTCGTCCCTAGGGATCAGAGATCACTTTTCGAGACTCTGTTGTTCTTGTCTCTTTTTCAAATCAGAACAGGGTCGAAAAAAATGATCGCGAAAGAGAGAAGAGAGGAAACGAGCTCTCTTATTGGTTGTCCCGCAGTTTCACGGTGCAACAACAAACATCATCGTACCCGAGGTGGGTTCCAGTTCAAATATTGGTGCGCGCCGATTACGCGTACTCGACCTATGCAGCATGATACAACCTAATTCACAGTGTTATACATCCGCAAAAGAGACAGCTACAAGATGCGAGACATCCTGCAGTAAACAGACTTGAGCCACCTAGTCTAAGCATTACGCCGCCGTGTGGATGCCATTTTTCAGCTAAATCTGTCCTCTCCAACGCCTACGCGCAACAAATCACTACAAGAGTTTGTCATCTTGTTCTCTACCCAACAATTCGCATTCGTGCCAAGTTTCGTGCCATTTGGCAACGTATTCAGCGCGTTCTCGTATTCACCAGGGATGTGCCGTCGGCTCGCTAGAGGTTCCGCCGCGTCTTTGAGGGCTCGCATGCTTTTTCCATATATTGTTTGGGCCCACGTGAAGTCTTTCACTGCTGAGTTCTAGCGCTGTGGTGTAGACTATGGAATTTCAAACCACTTGGATCCGTCGCTAGCTATTGGAGAAATCTACAGCCATAGTGCTTCATCTTGGAGGAGTGGCTCTGCTGTGTGCGTGTATAGCACCGCAGAGTGCGAATTGGCCTCTACGTACGTCTAACTTTTTTTTTTGCTACGCGCAGCACTGTTCGCCCCGCCCCCGCCGTCAACCCGCCGTCAAGAAACGTTGGTGACGCAAAAACGGCGGTGGCGCCAACCCATGAGGCCGCTGGCCACGGAAAGGAGACATCACGGTGTGCTGCATCAGCAGCAGGGGACGATGTCGGGCTAATCCCGCCCGCCTAGACAATCACAAGGTACAATGCCCCACCCGCCACGACGGCGGAGGAGAATGCCCGAACATCAGGATCCGACGACTACACCGACAGCGGCTGCCAAAGAGGAGGCGAGAGAACCGGGGGCCCTGGCCCCGAGACAACTTCCAGGGAACGAGGAAAGCAAAAACGCCGGCGAAGCCGCCGGCGGTGCTGCTGCTGCTGCCTTCGCGGCACCATCATCATCATCATCATCATCGTCGTCGCACCGCCCAGAGGAGGACCATCATCATCGTTATCACCATGATCATGAGGAGGCTCTTGAGGGGGAAGAGGCGCGGGATTTCGGCTACGGCAACTCTTTCGGCGCGTGCATCCCTCTGCCTTCGGCGCCGGGGGGCGGGGTCGGCGAGATGATGGCGACCGGGAGATTTCTGGCCGGTCAGCCGCGCAAGAGGTTCGGCGCTGGAGAGAGCAGTCCCGGGGGCGGAGGAAGCAACAGCTTTGCTGCTGCTGCTGCTGCTGCTGCTGCTGCTGCTGCTGCTGCTGCGGGCACACACGGCTCTCCGTTCGAAGGGCGACACCAACAACAACACGACGACGACGATATTAAGATTTCGGACTCCCGCGCACGAATAACAGCAGCAGAAGAAGAAGCCACGGCGGGCGCGGCGGCAGCGGCGCTGGCAGGGCCCCGCGCCGCGCCTCGAGAGCAGGTGTCCCTCCCGGACGATATCTACGGCGCGGCCCGGGTGTCCGAGTATTGGCACGGCGTTCCCGCCCTCAGCAGCCTCGCCTCGACCTACGTCTACGACGACATCTGGGCCGGCGACGGAGGCTTGAACTCGAGGTGAGAGGCCGTCCGTAGCTTTGGCTGTGCCCGCCGGGTACGGCGACGGTGCCCACGCGCGTGAGCGCGTGCAACGTGCGTGCGAGGAGGGGCGGTTCGCTCGCCGCCGCGCTGGCTGCCGGCGCAAAGGAAAGTGCTTTTTCCCCCGCTGCTTGTCTAGCGCACAACAGGGCAAATAATCTAAAAAATGGCCACCGCACGTACGATATTTAGTACCAGTAGTCACTTGTTCCGCGCTGGAGAATGAAAAAAGGATGGCTTTGTTATTGCGATGCATGCTATCCACCGGAAGATTTGGAAATCGGGGATGTTTTGGCTCCACACGCTCATGCCGGTGTTCCTGATGTCGGTAGCCACATTGATACAGTCAAGCCACACCGGTACAGCGGGAGCGGCAGGGCAGCCTGTCATGTCCGAAGAATTCTGCCGCTCGGACGATTTGACCCACAACATCGTTGGAACACCACGCATCCATTTCAACCAAATAATACTCCGCAGCGTGTGCACTCCTCTGGCGGCCTATTATTAGTAATAGTGTCATAATGGAGCCGCCAGTTTCTGCGGGGATGTGGAAACGTTGTTGATTGCCTGGTAGGTGCGCTTTGGATGTCAGGCGCACCTGTCAAATTTCGTCGCACACGTAACGTGACAGCCTTCTGCGTGCGGGGTATCTGTGTCTCAATCGTGACTATCGCTCTTGTTGTGCAGCACCCTATGCATATGTACGCATGCTTCGTACAAGGTACGAAACAAGGAGTACGTAGGGTGACGTCAGGGGGCGAAAATCCAATTTCGTACGTGTGTTCTACTTCTATGTTGTAGAGGCGAGGAGAGTTCAACATGCAGCAAAAACGCAGCACCATCGAATATTGGTTAATCACCAGCGCGATTATATCGCAATGAATCACAAGATACACCGCCGTTGGCCGGATTCATGCGGTAGGAAATTGGCACATGTCCATCACCGCAACGAAGCATACGCTGCTGTGTGCGGTGTTATTTCATGAACCGCGGGTATCGAGTCATTACGTACGGAACTACCTCCGAGGAAAGCGACGTGTGTAAAGCTGTGAAAGTGTAGAAATTATGTGTTGGCACCCGTTCGCTCCCCCGACAAGAGCAGGTAAGATTGCTCTTTTGCTTTTCCCCCTGGATACATCAGCAGCCTATACATATCGCGGTAACAGCCTGAAAAACGAGTCATATATTTCGCGCACCACGAGTGAATACTTCGTTTTTTGTGTCTCTTTCACGGTCCTCTCCTGCCGGCGGATTGTGTTTCACGGCGAGAGGGTAAGGTGACCCACGCAAGCAACAATCGTGAAGAATTCCCCCAACTACTGATGCCGTGTGGTTTTGGGTTCTAGAATCGGATTTTTTGCCGGTGGGGGGGCGCGCGTGGGTTGGGGGAGAATCTTCTCAAGACTGTCCATGACGCCACGTGTTGCCGCTCCCAACTCGCAGGGAAAACCTCATGAGCATGATCGGGTGGACCGCGGAGGGAGGTGTTGGGACGTCCCACGACAGGGGGGGCGACGCAATAGTCCAGGCACTGCGCGCGGTGGCTTGCACGGAACCTCCAGATCAGTGGCCCGGGGGCAATGAACGGAAGGGAAGGGAGGGAACGGAGGTGGTCCAAGGACGCCGCCGACGGGAAGATGGCGCCAGCGGGAGAAATAACGGCGGCGACGGCGGGGGCGCGAGGTTCGGCGGAGAGCAGCAGTGGGTGCGACGGGTTAACGAGAAGCCGACGGGCGGGGAATGTCGGGGCGAGGATGCTCATGTCTGCAGCGACGATCGTGTCTGCGGCAGGGGTCAAGACGGGCTCAAGTGGCGGAGAAAAAGCAGCGGTAGCGGGGGCGGCGGCGGCGGTGGCGGCGGCTGGGGTTACGGTAGCCGCGAAGGCACCACGAGCGGTGGTGAACGGAGCGACGGGTGCTCGGCGGACGAGGAGGTCCATGCCCCGAAGAAACGCCGTACCCCTAGCCCCGACACAGCCCGGAAGTCGTCGCCGGCTGCAGAGGATGCCGCCCACTCGGCGATGGGGTCCAGCAGCGCCGGCGCTGCTGCCGCGCGGCCGGGCGCGGTGGACCAACCAACGACGGTGGAGGAGAAGACAGCCACAGAAGACCGAGCCCTTCGTGAGGCCGAGGTCATCCGATGGTGTCAGAGAGTTTCGAGCGCGCGAGCCATGTCCGGCGATGGCGGTGCCGCGCCGGGTGTGGGTGGCATCAGCAGCAGCGCGGCGGGTCCAGACGAGAAGTTCTTCGCCGGGAGGGTGCTCGAGCCGGTCCCCTCACGGCACTGGCCCGGCACCGCGAGGACTAGAACCGGCGGTAGTAACGTCAGCGACGCGGTTTTTGGTCGGGGGGCGGCCGTAACAGCGGCGTCGTCGTTGCCCCCACCGCTCCAGCCACCATATCTGGGCCTCGGCGTGGGCAACCTCAGCAGTCGTGGGCGCGGGGACGACAATCACCGCAGCGGCAGCGGCAGCAGCGGCGGCACGGACGCCACAAGAGACTCCGACCAGTGCCCGTCCAGCCGAGACGAGGAGGCGATGGCGGGGGTAACAAGGGCGGCATCGCCACCGACCGCGAAGTGTAATAGTAGGATCCCGCTGGCGTCAGGGTTCGCGGGTGCCGCTCTCGCTTCGGCTGCCGCCGCCGGTTCCGCCGCCGAAGCAACCACCGCAGCGGCGACGGCGGCGGCGGCCGCGGCCACGGCAACGGAGTCGAGACAGTCGCCCCCCTCTGCGCAAGAGCAGCAAGGGTTCCTCGACAGCCACACGCTGGAGCCGAAACCACGGAGGAGCTGGATCCTGGCCGCCGGGGCAGAGGGGTCCGCACGGGGAGAAACGCAGGGGGCGGGGGCTAGCGGCACCGCCGTCCCCAAACCCGCGCACGGGATACCGATGCCACCAGATTCGCAACGAAGTGATCACGACGCCTCCGGCCCGGCGTGGAGTGGGAGTCAGAGGCGGGAGGGCCACAACCCGCTCTGTTGGAGCGATACAGCGGGCCGCAATCCCCCTGTTTTTGAGGAAGGAGCGGCGGGGGCGGCGGTCGCAGATACTGAGTCCAGCGGAAGGTAAATACATCATGGCAGGTTTTTTGTTCGGTTCTGTTACAATGATGGCAGGTGTTTTTTTGTTCGGTTATGTTTCTATGCGCTCACCTTCTCTTATTTTTTATCTCTCTTGCTGTTTTCGACGGAATTGCTCCCGTTTACAATGTGCTGGTGGTGTTCGATCCGACGGATGTTTTTCTTTTTATGAATGAGTCCACTTCGGAAGACAGCAAGTTGGCTTCCGTGTAGAGTGGAATCTCCTGCCGCTGTGCTCAGTAGTATGTTTTTTGTCGCAGGGCACGTGTCTTGCAATTTTGTACCGTCCTTTCTTGTGCAAAAGTTTTCTCCACAACTCAAATCAACCCTCATGTTTATTTCCAGCCTCTAGTGAACCATGCCAGATATTCAAGAATTCAGTCTCACCGCTGTCCACCCCCGAACCCGGCGCACCCAGCGCAAACGACTGGCAGGTGCGGCCGGAGGCGATGGTGGGCTTCTTCACGACGGTAGACCACAGCGCCTGCTCTCCCGCTGCGCTGCTCCACTCTCAACGACGGCCGTCGCCGCCGCGGTTACGGTCGCCGCCGGCCATCGGCCCCGTCGCTCCCGCCGCTCCCACCGAGGTGGGCACCCAGCCGTCTCCCACCGCCGTTGGGGCAGCGGCGGCGGCGGGGCGAGTGGCCAAGCCCACGACCGACGCTGAGAGAATGCAGCAGGTACTGGGGTACTCCCCTGTGTGGGGGAGCGGCGGCGGCGGCGGCGGGGCCGATGGAACTCCTTCGGCGGCGGCAGCGGTGACGCGGGAAGCGACGGTGGCTGCCGTAAGCCGAACAAACGTCGGTTGCGTTAGAGAAAGCAGCAGCGTCTACAGCGGGCGGGATGTTGGGTGGGCGGGGGCCGGTGCGGCTGAGGACGAGAGCGGTCCGAAAGAGGAGGGCGACAGCAGCTGGGGTTGGTGACAAAAGCTGAGCGTGTAAATCACATGTGGCTGACAAACGGGGAGGGGTTTAGACGAGAGAGTTAGGCAAAAGGCCCGGCAACTGGGCGGGCACCGAAAGATGGTGGGCTGGCTCCAAGCGGCAGCAGTGCGTCAGGTGACGGTTAGATTGCAAGAGCTGTCCTGTTGGCTACCGCCTGGGGGGTGTCTTTTGTGTTCTGCCTCGGCGCTCTTCCACACGATGAACGCCAGAAGTACAGAACCCGTTCGTCTTCGAGCCTGTGGGTGTGTCACGCAGCTAGCAGAAGCATGTGCGTCGTTTTGGTATCCCAGTCAATTGGTTTTAGAATCCACCTCCAAGGTCTAGATTATATTTGAAGAATGATCGTATGGTTTCCGAAGGAGAACGAAAAATGCGCATATGTGTTTTTTGTACCATTCCAATGCCGTTTGGCGCAGTTCATTTTCGAAGAGACGTGCGTGCGGGCGCAACGTAGGTGGCCAGGCCAAAGCTTGGCTGCGATGGGGACCGATCGCGCAGCCGCCGCGCCGGCCAATCGCCGTTCCCGGTTTCGGGTATATACCTGCCATCTAGGGCAACCCTGTGTTGTTGTGTTGCTCACGATCGACAGGGCTTTGTCTTGTTCCTAGCTTCTTTTTTTTCTTTCTGCCCTCTGGTGCCGTGCTATGTCTTCGTGTGTGGTGTGAGGCCCTCGATATCTTATTCGTTTCCTCGTTCACGAGCGACATGGTGTGTTTCTGTGGTGGCATGCGCCCCCTGTGGTTGCCATCTGTCGCCTTACGTTGTACGTCCATGTACCGCTTCTCTTTTCTTGTGTTTTTTTTCGTCTTGGCCGCGCGTGCCCTCCCCACCCCCCCCATCCCGGGCGACCGCCGCGTGCCTTTTTTTTGTTTTTTGTTTTGGTCAGTTTCTTTTCTTTTACGTCACGTCGTGTCACAAAAGACTTTCACGAATTTGACCGCCACGCGAGGACCTCATAATGGCTTCGGGACTTCCGCTCCTCCTGTGGAGCTACCAACACGCACACGATAGGTATACAGTAGACTTGAGTGGAAGGGTTATCACATGGGCATCGCGATTTCGCGCCCACAGCAGTGCTTCAGTACGTTGACCAGAGGAAGGGGACCTCAATTCTTGGGCGAGGTCTTGATTGTGTGTGTTGTGTGCAAGATGGCACCGCTGCTGGGCCAACGAGGTACGTGTCTGTTTCATAGCCCGGGACGCGTCGTTCTGCGTCTGATGGCGTGTAGCGTACACGCGCCAGTTGATCGAAACGTGTTTGTCGACACCACTGGTTTCGTCCTGTTAGTGGGATGGTTTGGTAAGTCGTTGCGACCTGTCAGGTTTTATTTTCTGGCCTCTTAGTGTTTATTTTACCTCCGTTTCATCTTTCCCGTATCTTGTCTCATTTTCTTTCTCTTTCCTTGTTCTTTTTCTATTTATTTCTGTGTTGTGAAACCGATAATAGACTGATATTGCTGAGTGACGAGCACTGTAATTTATTCAGACTCTGCGTCCGCCGTCGGATATTGGCTTGGCTCTGCCCGTCAGCCTGGCTTCTTACACCCGCCCTCGTAAGCGGTGTTGGTGAAGCGAGCCTCGATGGTTCCGGGCTCCCAAAAGCTGTTGGGAGGGCCTGGATACGAGCAATAGCCGGCAGTTTCCACCAAAGCTTTGCAGGAGTAGTGTGTGGACGCGTTCAGGCGAGCACGATGACAAAGCGGTCGTGAATGATCCGTGTCACGAGAGAAGAGTGGGTGCATGTGAGTCATCGGTTGGTATTGTTGGTGGGGGGGGGCGTACTCTTATGTTTTGCATGCCTTAGCGGTTAGACCATTGACCACGCGTCCTCGAGAGGACGGAGCATTGTTCCCACAGGACCGATCACCGATGGCCAATCGTTCCCTTCTACTTTGCCAAAGGTGGCTCAAAAATGTCTTCCCTAGTCTGTCTATCCTAACGATATCCCTTCCCGCCTTTTCAACCCACCTCCTATGCCCCAGGACAGCTACCGTCATTTCCTCTCTATTCCATGCCTCAAACATATCCCTGAACGTCCCATCTATTTTTCCCAGCTCAGTCACGTACACTTCCCTCTCCTTCTTGTACAACGGACATTCCGCGACTACATGAACACGGTCTTCGCATTCGAAGCCGCAATCACATTTGAACTCGTCGTCTTCCTCGTCTACCGTCCTATGTCTTCGTCGACGTTCTCGAAGGCCTATGTCCCCGGTCCTGAATTTGACCTTAAGCTTTGTTCCTGCATCCATTGGTCCATGTAGGTAGTCCTTGAACCCTATTCCTTCCTTCAACATTCCGTACACTTCTAGACCCTCCTTATCCTTGGATTCTTTCCTCAGATTCTGTTCTTCTCTCTCGGCACAAGCAACAGATATCTTCTCCTTGAACCCCTGTAGACCCTCCGTTTCCAGCGTTTCATCTTCGTCGATGTCGAGCCCCTTCCATACGTCCTCTACAACCTTGACCCATTCCGTGGGTTGTCTACCCCTCTTTTTGTTTGCCCACTTCGCCTCCCATAAAATCCTCGGCAACCTCTCCTCTCCCATCCCGCACATGCGATACTACTGCCATGTCAGCTTCCTCGCGTCTCTCCCCGACCGTAGGGATTGGATCCCCAATTCTGCCCGGACGGGTGCATTACTTGTGCGCCTGGAGCATTCTAGGATGGTTTTCGCTGCTTTCATCTACGCCGCCTCGAGTTCTTTCACTACCTTCTTATTTTCTTCCCATACTTCTCCGGCTTACTCTAGCGGCGGTACGACAACTCTCTTCAAAATCGCCAATTTGATGCGTGTATCGAGGTGCCGGTTTGCGANCGGACGGGTGCATTACTTGTGCGCCTGGAGCATTCTAGGATGGTTTTCGCTGCTTTCATCTACGCCGCCTCGAGTTCTTTCACTACCTTCTTATTTTCTTCCCATACTTCTCCGGCTTACTCTAGCGGCGGTACGACAACTCTCTTCAAAATCGCCAATTTGATGCGTGTATCGAGGTGCCGGTTTGCGAGTATTGGGTGCACCCTCCCTGCTCATGATTTGCCCTTTTCCGCTACCTTGGACATGTGTGCATTCCACGAGCAGTCTTTCGCGATCTCTACTCCGGGTTATGTGTACTGGTCCACTACTGCAATCTCCTCGATCCCCCACTTCCATCGATGTTCTACTGGTTCCCCCTTGTTCTCGTTGCATACCATAACCGGGGGGAGGATTTAGAAGACCTTCGTGGACACATCGTATGTATTTCGTCCTCTCCGCCGTTGCTGCATGTGCGCAGATGGATGTGTAGCGCACAAATTTGTTGTGGTGTTGACGGTGTAACACCGCCATGGTACGCGTGAGTTCGTCCTCTCCGCCGTTGCTGCATGTGCGCAGATGGATGCGTAGAGTAAACCAGGGTATTAACGAACACCCCCACCCGGGTTGCACGCGGTGGAAAAAGCAAAAAAAAAGGCCCCACGGGGCTCCGTACATGGT